TTCACCATTCTTCACACATCCCTAAAATGAGTTTTTAGATTTTTAATCTTAAATAAAAATGTCTTTAAAGCTGTCATGATACAGGAAATAAGCAGCCAGACTGCACTATACCAAGGAACAAAATAATTCATACAATCACTCTATCTAAAAGTATGCTTCAGTATCAAAGCATACCTAATTCCAGGATTTTATTGAAAACTCCAAGATAAAACAGAAATTGCAATTTACTTAATAAAAAAATTATCAGGGCTTAATGTTAATTCCTATTGATTCTTTTCACTAGACACAATTCAGAAGAAATGTTATTATTTAGAGTTTGGATCCGAGTGTTGTGGGGAAAACGTTAAGATAAATACCTGCATACAAATGCTTATATTTACAGCTTCTCTATGGTACTTGCCCACACTTGGAAGTAACCAAGTGTAATGGTGGATACATAATATTATGTACTTGTCAAAACTCAAAACAGTATATAACAAAGAATGAATTCCAATGTAAACTGTGGACTTTAGTTAATAATCATGTATCCATATTGGTCCATAATTGAGACAAATGTACCACACTAATGCCAGTTGTCAACAACAGAAGGAGTGTATGGGTACCTTTAATTTATGCTAAGTTTTTCTTTAAGCCTCAAACTGCTCTAAAAAGTAGAGGACTTTTAGGGGAGTAAGCTATTCTGTATAATAATATAATTGTGGATACCGGCCACCATCAGTCTGTCCAAACTCACAGAATGTACAACACTAAGTTAGTGAACTGTGATGTCAACTGTGGACTTGGGAGGTTAAGATGTGTGGCTGTAGGTCCTGCAGCTGGAACAAATGCACACCTCTGGTGGAGGATGGTGACTGGAGGAGGCTATGCGTGTGCAAAGGCAGGGGACACAGGGAATCTCTGTGCCTTCCTCTCAAGTTTTCTGTATACCTAAAACTGCTCTAAAAATATAACCTTTCAATTTAAAAAATCTTAAGACAGTTTGAAGGGGGAAAAAAGACTGGTTAACCTGAGCAAACTGAGAGAGATGGTTTCTTATTGTAGAATGGTGTGAATTAAACTCCATCTAACACAGTTGATTATGTGTATTTTTAGAGAAAATAATATGTATAATAAAACACCAGGAAGTCAGTGAAAATTATCTTTATTTCAGAACTGAAGGGTCCTTAGAGATGAATGAATGGGTTTAGATAAGCTTAAAAATTAACCAATTGTGACTATCAAACACTCCAAATGCTTCCAAGAAGGGAAAATTGTGTTTGGTTTTTGCTGGGGCAAAAATGAATGTGTTAAAGTGAGTGTTATGAGGAAAAACATCCTATAGATACTAAGGATGCAGTTAAGAACTGTTGTGAAATTTTGTTTATGTTAACACAATGGAATTTGCCTCAGATTACTAGATATGTCTATACATATATGGTCTAATTGAGCCAGTCCTGATCTTATGGACTATTTGAGGGTTCCCGAAGCTAGTTCTTAAGAAATATAAATGATCCATCTTTTCAGCTGCTTCAGAACTCTGGACAATGTAAGCTCCATTGCATGTTGGAGAAGTGGTCTGGCCTGGAGAGTCACAGTGTGGGCAGTGGGGATAGTTGGCCTGGGTTCAAATCCTGAGCCTACTGCTTGCTTGCTGGGTGATGAGGTTTACTTGCCTTTGTTTCCCCATATGTAAAGTGGGGACAATGACCATATAGATTGAGCACCCCTGAGAACCTGAAATCTGCAGTGCTACAAAATCTGAACTTCTCTGAGCACCAAAATGATGCCATATGTGGAGAACTCCACACCTGACTTCGTGTGATGGGTCACAATCAAAATGCAGGTGTGCTAAAATGGTCCATAAAATTACCTTAGGTTATGTGTACAGGTGTATATGAAACACAAACAAATTGTGTTTCAACTTGGGTGCCATAGCTTATTACATATGTGAATATTCCAAAATCTGAAAAAATTGTAACCTGAAACACTCCTGGTCCCAAGCATTTTGGATCCGGGTTACAGTTTCTACTTCATGGATTAAGTGAAATAATAAGATAATGAAATAATAAGATAATAAGTATCTTGTGCAGGGCTGGGCACACAAGTGTTAACTGGTATAAAACCCCAAATAAACTGATTATAGGAGATCTTGACTATGTCATTTTCAGGATTATCACTGATGGTCCCTTAGGCTGATAGCAATATGAAGACACTTCTTTGGTTGTACTTCTACCACTCTGTGATAACTAATCGTGTACATGTTGTTTTCTTCCGCGGGTTTGTCAACTCAGTGAAAACAGAAGCCTAATCTTAGTTATCTTTGTTAACAAAGTACATTTAAGAAAACATCTCTCGGGCTGGGGTTGTAGCTCAGTGGTGGAATGCTTGCCTAGCACATGTGAGACCCTAGGTTCAAACCTTAGCACCACATAAAAATGAAATAAAGATATGTGTCCACCTACAACTAAAAAATAAATATTAAAAAAAAAAAAGAAAACATCTCTCAAAATTCAGGGACCACACTGATTTACTTTTTAAATGGAAGGGAATTTTAATTTCGGCTAAATGGCATACTGTTGAACTGAAAACTTATTACTTTTTCAAATTAAAAAAAAAAGCCAGATAATTTAAATACAAAAATAGTTTGGACTACTAGTATTACTGCCTAATACCAACTGTCCTAATGTCTTTCCCACAGCAGGACTTGACTATACTGGGATTTTAAGCTGAAATTCTACCATACTGGAAGCAGAGAAAACTGCAACATTGGGTTCACACTGAAAACTAGCTGCAAGTTGAGATTCACACCATTTGTAGTTGGCCAAGTTCTAAGTCACAACACAACAGTCCCAGAAAACAGATTAAATCTGCGCCTGGTTTTGAAGGGCTCCAGTGAATGCAGCAAATGCAACGTTAGCTGCTGTATCAAGGACTGATGTATTTAATCAAAATGGAAAAAGAGGGTTTATGATATTCCAGGAAGCAATAAAGTTTCTATTTTCATGTAAACAATCTAAAATAAACACCAAGGGCAGCAAACCAGAAAAATGCCCCAAAGAATAGAAGAATGGCTTCTAAATAAATAGCTTTTTCTGAATTTCATTTTAAGCAATAGACAAGTATTTAACTAAATTATTCTCTACTGAGACTATTAAAATGGCTTTGCTATTGCTATCAGGATGTAATTTCAAATCCACTCAATTTCAAGAAATTGACTGAAACTCAAATCACAGATCTGGCATATTTTAAATGATGCTACAAGCACAATGCAATATTATGCTGATTAGAACACTGAAGTATCTGGACCCAGGTAATTTGGTTAATAGTACTAAATCAGAGAGGCCAAATTGATTTCCCAGACATATTCATGAATATCTCAGAAATCATTATGAGGTTTGATCACTGAAAATTTCTCCCATTTTCTCATTGTCCAGTGGTGACACAATTTCGGTCAGATGAGTGTATACTTAGAACACAAGATTCCCAGAATTATAAAACCAGGAAAAACCTTAAAGGATGTCCAATCTAATGTCATTTTCTAAGTAAGAAAGCAGAGGCTCAGGAGGATTGGGGGAGGCTTGAGCTCTGGAGTTAGACAGTTCTGAATTTCAGTCCCAGGTTGGCAAGTTAGTCACTGTGTGATCTTGAGAGAGTCATTTAACCTCTCTGAGTCTCAGTTTCTTCATCTGTAAATGGGGATAATAATTACACTGAGTCACAGTGTGATTACTCAGTAGATATTGGGTGCTATCACTCTGTTTTTGTGAATAAAAGTGACTCATATGGCAAGAAACCATCAACAGAACTTGAGTTTCATTAAACACAGTACCTAGGATAAAAATTCACTGGTATGCTACCAAACATGTGGGCAACCATTTCAGCCTTTTTGCTGTTGAACTGATCAAAATTTTAAATTGGTAACTTCAGACTGAGGTCTCAATTTCATGAAGATTCACGTATAGTTAGCTTTCTATGAACAGTGGTTATTCCAAATTGACCTTCATAATTGTTTTAGCTCAGTTATATGGTTTTAAAATATTTCCCACTAAAAGCTGTTCAAATAAAACTAATGACAAGGTATACTGGCCACAAATACAAGCTAAATTTACTCGAATGATATTAAATTTGACTTTAGTTAGTTGTTATATTGAATAAGTCCAGCATTCTTAATTCCTACTGTCAGATATTACCATCCTCTATGCACCTGTTCGGAAGAAGCTAGAATAAGGGACACACGACAGGAAAAGCTCCGTGGTAGCATGGTGAGATCAGCTTTGGTTAAAATAGATTTCTAAAAACCTACTAGCTACCCATCACAGGCATTTGGAATTGCTACTTCTGCAAACATTTACTGCCATCAAACGGTTCATTCCACTTAAGAGTTGAATATTTTTCTTCTATTAAAAATTAATAATTAAGAAGACACAAAATGAATATTAGCTTTGGGGCTGGGGATGTGGCTCAGTGGTAGAGCGCTTGCCTAGCATGTGTGAGGCACTGGGTTCGAGTCTCAGCATTGCATATAAAAAAATAAAATAAATGTCCATTGACAACTAAAAGTATTTTAAAAAATTTAGCTTTCTATAGTATATTCCTAATACTTCTGCTTTTGATACTTTTTAGTTAAATTGGTGGCCTTTTCTGGAATTATTCTCTGAATATCAAGTGGGTGCTTAGAATATTTTCTTGAAATAAACTAAAGATCAATTTTCTCCTAATCTGGAGAGTGATCCATGAATATATAGTTAACTTAAATTCATTAAAAATAATTAAGAGCAAATGTAATATGATATAAATATATTAAAGAGACATTAACTTAAACTACAGTGAAGTATAAGTGTAAACTACAAGCCTAAGTATAAATATGAACAAAGCCAAAACACCTTTTTTTTTTATGTAATACTGATGTGATTCAGCAGACCATCAGATGAAGAAAACAGTAATTCTGAAAGGTGGCAATTTGTATCCATACCCAGTATTTAGTATTTCAGCTACTAGAAATAAAAGTTTGGCAAACTTACCCGCATTTTTGCACAAGCATCTTGGGTTGATTCTGTCCCCCTGAGCTCTTTTATCAGCATAGAACCTAAATACTAAAATACAAAAAAAAAAAAAAAAAGAGTACTTTTATGAAAAGGAGAGTTTAAATATGAGTAACAATTAAAAAACAAATTGTGGAAGTGCTACTGGCTAGGCTTCCTGGTTATAAATTGTTGATAACTTTATAAGAAGGCTGATCCATAGTGGGGTAGGGAGGGGGGGCATGGGAGGAATAGATGAACTCTAGATAGGGCAGAAGGGTGGGAGGGGAGGGAGGGAGCATGGAGTTAATAATGATGGTTGAATGTGATGATCATTATTATCCAAAGTACATGTATGAAGACACGAATTGGTGTGAATATACAGAGATATGAAAAATTGTGCTCTATATGTGTAATAAGAATTGTAATGCATTCCACTGTCATAAATAAATAAATGTACATTAATTAAAAAAAATGCATTCAAAGAGAGAATGTCACAGAATTAACCATACATTCTGAGGGCCGTAAATTGCTCTTTATAATGAAACTGCATCATTTTCTAAAGATGCCATCTCTCAGATCATATTTAACTGCAAAATGGGAACATCTAAAAATGCTTCCCCCTCCCCCTTTTTTTTGAGGCAGCAATATCTGCAAAAATAACTCACACTACTCCGTGTAATTACAGGGTTGTATAAGACAGCTGAGAAGCTGAGCAACATGGCCCCCGTTGGGGCTTATTGGGCGGCATAGGTAATTAACGTTAGGTTGTTCTTAGGCAGAGCTGCAGTTTGGGGACCTTTTCATTCACAGCTGTGTGCCTTGTGGTTGGTCCATCTGAGACCTGGATGGCAGGGGCTGGGGAGGAAGAACTCCATTTTCAGTTCCACAGCAGAATGGGCTGAGTCCTGGTGCAAAGTGACTCCTGGAGGGCTGTATGGAGGTGGGGAATGCTGAGACTGTCTCCTCACAGGAATTACCAGCCACTTCACTGTAAGGTGATGGGATCCAATACCACGTTGGTACCCAGCACCACTAACTCATGTTTCTAGCCAGGGACAAATAGTTTTGAGCAAAATGTCTAGACTGCCTTTTTACCATTGACTCCTCATCAACCTTTTGAAACATCAACAGGGTTCTTTCCTTTTGTCATTTTTCCCTCCTAAATTCTCCCCCCTTTTAAAGAGCTCAGCACATTAAAAAAAATGTGAATATTTTAATTATTAATGTGAATATTATAATTATTTTAAATTATTTTAGATTTGAAGGACACTTCCCGACTTAACTGGAGATACAGTGCAAAAACAGGTATGGGAATTGATGTCGTGGACCTGACACAGAGTAGCAAGGGCCTGGTCAAGACCTTGAAGAGAGGTTTGTGCAGAAAGCTTAGGGATTTGGGGTCTGAGCTTTGCAGGAAACCATGTTAACCCTACAGTTTGGGGCCTATTACTGTTGAAAGAAATCCAAAGCTGCAGGTAAGAAAAAAAAAAAAACAGCCCAAGGAAAAAGGGCCCTAACTGCAAGGAGATAACTAGGATGCCCACATCTTAATCAAATTAAGGAAAATGATCTTGGTGAAATTCTAATCTTTTCAGTTATCAGGAAAGTTTTTCCCTAATTGAAACGTTTCTTTCAAGGAGAGGAGGTTTCAATGCGCTGCGAGGATTCAGCCATTTTTTTCCTACTGTAGTCATGACAACCACCACCTGCCCCAAAGCCTGCAGTATCTTGAACATTCACCTATTTGTATTACAATTCTCAGCTAAGCATAACTATTCCCTTTGCTGCAAAAAAAGAAAAGGAAAACCAACAACAACAATCCTCAAATCAGTAATATAATCCTACTGCTGATGATGAAAGGAATCTGATTTTTATACACAGTGGTGGATCCAATGCTCTGGGATCACTGGTGAGTGAGTGAAGATAGACAGATGTTCTACATTCATGCCCATTTCCATTCTATTTTCCCTATTTATTTATTTTGGCTGTTGGAGATGGAACCCAGGGCTTTGCACATGCTATGCAAGTGCTCTTTCACTGACACCCCCAGCTCCTCCTCACTTCCTTTTAAATTAAGCTTGATCTCATATCTTTCTATTTTTGTTGTTGTTGTAGTGGTGGTTGATATAGGAGATTGAACCCAGGGGCAGTTAACCACTCAGTCACATCCCCAGCCCTTTTAAAATTTTGAGATAGGGTTTTGCTAAGTTGCTTAGGGCCTTGCTAAGTTGCTGAGGCTGGGTTTTGAACTTGTGATCCTCCTACCTCAGCCTCCCCAGCTACTGGGATTACAGGCATATGTCACTGTGCCCTGTGATCTCATTTCTTTTGAAATATACAACACTATAAGAAGAAGGCAGAACAGAGCTTAAGTGTACAATATTTAGAGCATTATAAAGTCTAGTTATTTGGACTTCATGTGTAGAATGCTACTTTAAAAAAAAGAGAAGGGGGGCGCTGGGATTGTGGCTCAGTTGTAGAGCGCTCGTCTAGCACATGCGAGGCCCTGGGTTTGATCCTCAGCATCACTTAAAAAATAAAGGTATAAAAAAGAAAAAAAAATATATATATATATATATAAAGAGAAAGGGAAATTCATTTAGGAATTTCAGTGATGGACATTTTGGTTCAGTAAAGAAACCAAAATATACCCTTTATCCCCAGTTGTATCCAAATATTGAACTCAGGGTAACTTACAAAAGCTTTGTAGTCACACGATTGGAAGATGAGCTTTTCTGGGTGATGCTGCCAGTACTGTACTGGAGTGGAGGCCGTGGCTTCATTTGGAGGTCTCAAGGTGATAGAAGGCTCTCCCCAGTCTCCTGTCTGAAAATGACATTTATTCTAGACGCAATATGAGCAGTAAGCAAAGTTCATTCCCTCTAGCTAGCCTGAGTTCACCTTACATGCACGTGTTGGAAATGTGGAAAAACATCTGAGTGTGTTGTGCATATGTAAATACTTTTATTGGTTATGATGCTTTTATACGTATTAGCATATTTCCCAAAGTTAAGTTCATCTTGAGGTTGAAGAAGTTGGATTATTCTGTCTTCAGAAAGATACCCTAAGCTAAGTATTTTATAACTTGAAGATATTAATGAATATTAAAATCATAATGATATATTAATAAATGATTTATAAAGTCATAATTTTCTTATATAATAGAAAAAAACATACCATCTTTGAAAGAATTTTCCATTTTTAAACTTGAATGAAATTTTTAGTTTGAATTGTTTTCATGTTAGAATACACAGTTCCATAAATGTCAGTTCCCAAATATGACATGTACTATCCACTTTGAATAATTTTATATCTCTAGAGAAATGATACTATAAGTATGATACTAAACAAAATATTAAAAGAAAAATTTACTAATGGTGATTAGTTTTTCTTATTGGAATTCAGTTGTTTTGATAGAGTGCTGCTGCGATGGCTTGGCCTTACGCTGAGCTACATTCCTCAGGAACCCTCCACACCAGTGCAGACTAAACACCTGAATGCCAAGTTTGCTCACAAGTGTGTGCTTGAGAAAGTGATTCACAAGCATAAGCACTTTCACATAGGATGGTGAATCACGTGACAAAGGCCCAGGAGGACGGACCTAAAACAGAACATTCTCTTGTTTCAGTGAACACTTTCCAGAAGGTCAGCCTCAATCTGTTTTACGTCTATGAAGTTTAGTGTGAGCATTCATCAAATCAAAGGCCTGTGTTGGCTGGTCTTCTCTGGGCTCCAATCTGATTTACATGTCACACATGGAGTATTTCTTACTCTTTTCCCTGGCAAAGATTCTGATGCTTCAAAATTCAATGCTTTGTTCTCAAAGGGACATAACTGAAATTAAATATAGGCAGGTTTTCAAAGCCATTCTCTTCTAACCTGAATTTGGCTGACCTTATAGAATCATCAGAGATCACTTTTTTCAGCTGTTAGGAGAGCATAAAAAGGTCTCATGAGCTCCAAAACCAAACAGAACCTTGGTTAGAGACCAAGTTCCACAGAAGTATTAGCAAATGAGTCGACACACTGTGGGATTTTTTTTTTCTTTTTTGGTACTGGGGAGGGCGCTACTACATCCCTAACCCCTTATTAAGCTTTTATGTTGAGGCAGGTTCTAAGTTGCTAAGTATCTCACTAAGTTGCTGAGGCTGGTCTTCAACTTCTATCCTCCTGCCTCAGCCTCTTCAATCTTTGGTATTATACACATATATCACTGTGCCCAGCTCTGTGGGATTTCTTAAGGAGAATTTTTAAGGAGTCTGGGATAAGAATACAAAATCTGAATAAATGTTTTGGGAGAGAAAGGAAGTCCATAGTCTTCATTCAATTCTTTGAAAGGATCTAGCACCGTCAAAGAACCACAGGCCTCGAGGAATGACTCATCTTGGGTGTGTGTTGTGGGGAAGAGGGCTAGGTTCCAATTTTCTCTGTGCAATTTGGACTTACACTGGCAGGAATATGAGATAGCCAACAAAGGTAGGAAGTGTAAAGCAAAAGCTTTGCTTTCTGGAAATTAATTTTCTGGAAATTACTAAGTGGCTTTGAAAACGGAGAAGAAGAACTCTAGAGTCCTTCAGGAATGCATAGCTCATTCAGAGAAGTAGAGAGCCTGAGTGTTTGTGCTGGAGATGGATCAGTTCCAGTCAGAGGAAGAGTCACATCAGCCTGGTGCTATCTCCTTGGCTCCTCAATGGTGCATGTGACCAGGGCGAACCCCTCCAGCTCTTCGCTCTTTGCTCTGAGTTACTTTCCATGTCTGTTTGGTCTAGTCCCTAAGTTACCTGTGTACCGCTTAATCTTTCTATTCTCTGTCTGTTGATATTTTAAAGAATTAACCTATAATTTTAGCTTGAACATTTCTGTGTGCTTTATGACCTATCCCTGAGTCATTCTTAAAATTTTCTCTTTATGGTTAAACTTTTAATTATTAAAAGCAATAAGTGGCTGCAATTAATTTCAGTTTTAAGTTTTTTTTTCCCCTGGCTTTCCATTTTGATTTATTCCTTTCCTCTTACAAATGTCTGGATCCTTATTAACTCTCCACTCTTCATTTCAACTGACTTTAATTTGTTCTTTAAAAACTCATATAAACTTAGAAATGGAGGGTATGTAGTTTTCATTATTATTTTGAAGCTGAGTGTAATAAGCTTTAAATTAAAATAGCTTGCAACTCTGGAAACAGAGTTCTTAAATAACAGTTCTCCTCAAATCTAGCAAATCATCTTCTAATCTCCCCATTAGCCCCTCCCCCCAATAAAGCAACAACAACATAGCAAACAGGTATCGTACATTTAAGTCACAGGCGACACTATTAACAGAACAACAGTTTGCACGCAACTCTGTGAGATGATACGAAAGGAGGATCTGGATGACATTAAAAGATACTTTGAATCAGGGTCTGCTGATGTGACAACTCAAACCAAGCAATAGGTCTTCCTTCACATTAGCCCTATTTCAGTTTAGCTGAGGTTCACCTTGGCCGAGCTCAACAGGCAGGTTTCCAAAAAGCCTGAACAGACAAGGCAGGAGCTGCGCGTACCAAGAGTTGCAGGGAAACGGGTGGGAATAGGGTTTGGGGTGGGAGTGGGTGCAGTGAAGCTAGGGATATGGGGACATTTCGCAGGTTAGTACGTTAAGCATGCAAATCATATGCAAACTCATTCTCTAATTGTTCAATTAACTCACGCACTTTCATAATTAAATTTTAATGTGAGTTCCATACACTCGAAGCAGAACTACAGCCAAATGCTGATCCAAATATTTACATCATCCACAGAAGTTGTAGCAGCCATTTTGGGTCTAAAAAGCCCCAGCACATTCACCCTCTGTTTGGAAACTGAGATCTTTCATTTGAAACCCACTTGAAGAAATGAGTGGCGCATTCCTTTAGCTGTTTGGACAGCGCCATCGTCTGCTCTCCTCACCCCACTTTGTCCAAAAATCACAAATCACCTGCTTTGAATCCAGAGTGATCTGATAGGCTGTCCTCTAGATGCTATCAGGGGAGATAATTAAGGGAGGGGGAAACATAATCCTTGACTTATTTTCTCTTTGGTCTTGAAATATTGCTCCAGTCCAAATATTTTAAAATTTCCTACAGGGACTGAATGGACTTTCCTGGATATAGACACCAAATTTTGTCATCCTTAGTGTTATTTCCAGGAATTCATTTTCAGGGGGAAAGTGTTCTTAGGATTGAATTTATAAGAAAATAATTTTTTCTTCCTGGGAATCCGTCATTTTCTATTTAAAAAGAAATCTTAGATCTAAGAATATTTAGAAGATTTAACATACAGATGTTGGTTTTTCTCTTTGGAATTAACCTAATGGCAATGGAGGGACTCCAACAACTGGACTTAACATCACACTCTTGTAAAGGACAGGAATGACCTTGGCCCTTGGCTGGAATTCAGCTTTACCTGGTTGGCTGCCAGGAAAGACAAAAGAGTTCAGAGACCAGGTGTGCTTAGGCCTCAACCCTCCTGGAGGTGGAATTACGGCAGGAATGAGCAATGGAGGAGCTGGGTGGAGTAGTTACTATATGGAATGGCAGAAGAAATTGAAAAATAAATAAGGATTTTTACCTCATACATAAAATAATTTTGAACTGTGAGGCCCCGTGTTAGCTCTTGATGAGGAGTGCATTCATGTCTATATGATACCTACATTTCCTCAAGCAAATATTTTAAATTAACTCTTAATAATTTTCTGCTTTAAGAAATGCTTATTAAAAATTAAATAAAAATCAAACAGACGTACAAAGTCTTTTGCCTGAAATAATGACTTTAGTCAAAATTCATCTTTAATGAGAAGTAGATCTAAACCTGGGAAACCATGAAATAATATTTAATTAGAAAAACAAAATGAAATAAGAAAAGTTTGGGGTAGGATTCTGTAATATTTAAATTTTTTACTGACACAAAGATCTTTAGAGGGCCTAAGTAATTACAGAAGAGAAATGAAAACGATTCAAGGAACTTTTAATAGATATCTTCAGGCTATTTCTTTAGAGCTTAAAATAGCGAAAAATCTTTCCTTTAGGTTAACATAGGTAAATGCTCATGGTATTCCAAGAATTTGGTCATGGTTTAACACCTCATTCACTTGGTACTTATTATTTTTTTTATATGTATGCTTTAAAGATTTTTCAGTTTTTTGTAAATACACAAAAGGACACCAATTACACAGAAGGAAATGTCCATCATTAACTACCTCTTCAAACTCAAATAAAAATTAACCCTCTAACATTAAGGGAAAACATAATTTGAGATTAGGAGTTTTAAATGGAGAACTGATTCTGTCTAACAGGTATTTGCCAATTGCTAACCATAAATTCATAGTCTGGCTGAGTTTGGAAGACTATATAATTGGGCCACATCTAACATAATTAAATTAAATATTCTTTTATACCACCAGCTGAAAAAATGTAAAGCCACTAAACAAATTTAGATATAACACATAAAAATTCGTAAAAGCCTACAGATAGGGCTGGGGCTATAGCTCAGTGGCACAGAGCTTGCCTAGAATCTGTGAGGCATTGGGTTTGATCCTTAAATAAACAAGTAAAATAAAGGCATTCTGTCCAAAAATAAATAAATAAACAAACAAATAAATAAATGCTTTTAAAACAAGTCTGCAGATAGATTTTTATTGAATGGCAGATTATAAAAGGCAGCTTTTAAACTTTGAATTATTTTAAAAAATAATAAACAGCTGCAAGTTTTTAGTTCATGTACATCACACAGTTAAGGCAAATTCTAAAACAGATCATATGCTGTAGCCCTCTCCCCAGAAGGGAGCATATATATTCTGTGTGCACTGAGAATACAAAGGGGAAACAATCTCTATATTCTCATTTTCTTTTTCAGAAAAAGATTTCCTAAGGATGTCAGTGAATAATTAAAAGTCATGATTATGACTGAGTCTCTAACATTAAAAGAAAGGTATGGTATTTTTCAAGCCTTGTATCATTCTTTTCAAAACTTTTTAAAATTAAGATTTAATTGATTTTTTTAATAGAAGCTTTAAAATCTTTTCTACTAGGAACTCTTCACACCTACCTGCTAGTAAATTTAGAACTGAATATTAACAAACATCATTCTCTATTTTTCGAGAACACTTTGTGAAAAACTAAAATGATTTTAAATGATAATTGTTGCTTGAAGGTTTTACTTTCAATAATTCTGACAAATTTCAGAGATGGGCCGCCCAACCATACATATGATATATGCGATTACATTTACTTTCTGTATTCTCTAAGGCTTTGAAGAATACCACATGTAATTCTATGTCTATAAATTTATACATATATTTGGATGGAGTATCAGAGAAGTTCTCCTATAAACATTTACAGATATACAAAAGCAGATGCTGTAGTAATACTTTTAAAATGTCTTAAAGAATAAAGACTGCTTCTTTCATTATAACCAAATGCAATTGGTTATACTGAATTTAATATTTTGATGAAGAGCAGAGATGGCCACTTCTGAACACATAAAGGCTTTAGTTAGCATTTACGAGTTCATGAACTGCTGGGTCATGGAAGCACCAGTACCAGGCAATATCAGTCCTCAAAAGTCCCATGCACAGGAGGATAGATGTGCCTGACAGGGCACCCTAATAAAGGCTCTTCGCATGCCACCCCAAGAATTCTGCTCAGTGATTCTCAACCAAATGTCTCAATCTCTCAGATAGCAGGTCATCCAATGGGAAGAATTGTACAGAATGTAAAAACAGGGTTGTGTTTTAAAATACAAAACTTAAAAAAATTACATTAAAATGTTTACTTTCCAAAAGAAAAGGAAAATTTCTAATATGCAAAGGCAAAATGTGAATATTTGAATATTAAGCAACTCAGAGTAAATTGGGTCACAATTTCACACATGTTCTAAAGACCAGTTCTGTTCTATAAATGGAAAACGGCTGAGAACCACCTTGTAGCTGTAACAGTGCCCCTCCTGGGCTCTCCTCCCACATTTGCATAAAATGTATACAAAATATCATGCAAATCATACTCAAGAATTTCTCACAAGTAAAGCACATGAATCCTTGAGAATCACTGGACACAAATGGCTGAATAACCCATGGACATGGGGAAGTGCAAAATGGAAGGAATAACACTGATATATACATGTGTATATATATATATCAATTTACCCTTTTCCTTTTTCCTGTAAGTTAACACAGACGCCTGGAATGAAAGCCAAAACTCACATGGGACAGATTTTAACCATAGACTTTAAAACCAAGTATGTTTCTCATTTCAGGACAATGTTTGCACACCAACTAGTCACAAGGCACAGTTAATGTATAATAGACAAAGAATCTCAGGAGTCACTAGACATTACAAATTTTCCGCATTGCCAGGACACAGTACCTCCAGCTGTTGACAACACGGCAACATATTACATAGCGCAAGTTCAGGAAGAGAAAATAACCATGTGTAACCTTACATTATGGACCTGATGGATCGCTGAGAAAGGAAATCCAGCGTTCTGATTCGTCCATATCTCACAGACAGACGACTGCTGATATAAACAGAAAACTATCTCATCTTGTCAATATTTAAAACATGACAGCTACCAAAGTAGCATCCAGGAAGGGAAGAAGGAAAATAATGAAATTCCAGAACTACATTTCTCAAAAAACAAAAAACCCCAACAAAACCCTCAAAGAACATTTTAGGATACCCAAGGCTTAATAATTGACTTCCAATTTATTCTTTTCTCTTAAAGAAATCTTGTGTTGGGCTGGGAGAGAAAAAAGGCCACATGTGCATTAGTGTTATATTAAGGGAAATTACAAACGAAATCATATCTTAGAAAAAACAAAGCATGTTTTATAATTGCCCCAAAGAAGGGCAACATCCCTCTTTATGTTGCTATGTTTCAGAGGATAAATATTTTCATTAAGTTTAACAAAGATGGCAGAAATAATCTTTAAAACATTTTTATTTTCTTACTTTCAATGACAACAACAAGCAATGCAACAAACTGACTTTTCTGATTTAATTATTACTCTCTTGATAAACCTAGAGGGACAAAATGGCAGCTAACCAAGTGTCAGTCTGCCATGTAGCAGCTGGAGTGGTGGTGGGGGTGGCAGGAAAGTCTGGACTGGGGAGGTACTAGAGCCAGGGAAGCTCCTTTACTTTTACTGGAGCAGAAACTTCTGAGAGCAGCATTGGTGAGCCTAATGAATCAGCTCTGCAATTTGGGCTTTCCATCACAACAGTAGTGGTCAAACACAACAGGGTTTGCTCAGAACCAAACATCAAAATAACAATGCCTTCCGAGGAGTTATAGCAGAAACCACCAAATAACCTGACCAGCTCTCGGCCTGATCTTCCCAGAGTTCTCTACCTGAATGGCATTGTTCTAAAAGGCACTGTGAACTGAATCACAGAAAATGGCAGAAAATCAGAGAAAATGGCCTAGACTCATTCAGGAAACATTGTGAGCATCCCCAGAATTCACACGCAGGCCAGACAGAAATCATTGCAGTAGGAAGATAAGTACATACCCCAATATGGCTTATAAACCTAGTGAAGAATGGTATTATTAGCAAACTATGGGAAAAAAAGCTTAGCTTATCCTTGTTCATGTCTCTCCTCTTCTATCCTCCCAGGAAAGTAGGTTCAACATCTCTCTCCAGTTACAATAGCACCTCTACCCACACCTGTACTTTTGCTCTGCAGCCTCTTTCATCTGGATGGCTTGCTGTGGACACACTGTCAGGTAAATTGCACTGTTAGATTTCCTGTGGTCTGACCAAAGGGCACTTCCTACCACCTCCCACACAAACCTGCTCTGCTCTTCTTGGTTCTCCCTCTAAACTTCAGGCCATCCCCACCCCATGGGTGATTTTCTTCTTCCTAACTTTATTTTTTAATTAATTTTTTAGTTGTAGATGGACACAATATCTTTATTTATTTATTTTTATGTGGTGCTGAGGATCAAACCCAGTACTCCACACATGCTAGGCAAGCACTCTACCACAGAGCCACGACCTCAGCCCCTTCCTAACTTTCAAACATTAGTTCCCTAGAAGGTTAAGTCGACTCAAGGCTTTGGCCTTGTGTCCAATAGCTGTCATCTGATTTAAATATACAGTTGTCCCTTCATAATTGCGGGGAATTAGTTCCAGGAACTCCTGCTGATAGCAAAATCCAAGAGTGCTCCAAGTACCTTTTATAAAATGGCATAGCACTTGTAATATAACTCCCCCCACCATCTCACATGTTTTAAATCATCTCTAAATTACTTAGAATGTCTAAAACAGTATCAATGCTACATACATAGTTGCTATGCTTTATTGTTTAGGGAATAATGACAAGAAAAGAGTGCACATGTTTGATACCGATTCAGCTTTTTAAAAAATATTTTTGATCTGCATTTGGTTGAATCCACAGTACAAAGCCCAAGGACACAGTTGCCTGGTTACACTAACTGTGTGCTTAGCTGGATTACTATCATAACTAGCACCAAATGTGCTTCCAGGGAGCCCTAGGCCCTTCAGCACTCTCACCCACATTCCTGAGCTAATTCTTCTACATCAATTACAGCTTCTACAACTTTCACCACTTCTAGTGCCAACAGTAACCCACAGACCACTTGTTGGCTGCCATGAAGATGCCAACATTCAGAGAGGCTAAGTGGCTTGCACAGGCCACACAGGAAAATCAGCTCGCTGGGATGGCTAGGAAGGAGTGCAAGTCAGAGGCTCCTGTTATAGGAGTATATTGAAATATAGCCACTTTGTGGAACACTCTCAATTCCACTGGGATCCAAACACCTCAGTTTTATTGTTTCCATCATTACTCTCAAATGGACCATGCCTGGTCTCTTCGCCCTAATGTACACCAGATACCTTCAACCTGGATCACATTCCCGCTGGGCCCCTTCTCACTGCCCGGCTGGGAGAGTGTGGGGATGCACTCTGTCCCTTCTCCCACAGGAAAGGAGGAAAAGTCTCAGCCCTTCCCTTAGGGACTCCAACAAGTCTCTGCCTTCCCCAGCACCAACTGATCTGCGTGTGGGGACAGTGGCTGATGGTGGAAGATGGGACTCACCACCTCTTTGTAAGCTCTGAACAGGTGTCAGGCTCTGCTCCTGGCAACTTACTCTTTAGACTGTGGGGCACTGAGTTCCTACAGTACCCACTGGACATGCCATGACATGAATGCATCTGCTGACAGCCACAGGACAGTAACAGAGTTAAGGAGGGAAGAGAGGATCTCATGCCATACTTATGCTATTTTAAAAAAATTCATTAACTCAATGAAGGAAAAAAATTTCACCAGCAGACATACGTGATGAAGAGAGTTCATGCATAGCTTCTACACATTTTTAGAGGTTATAATGACTACTGTGACCATTTTCCATTATAAGCTGTTTTAAATGTTGAAAAAGTAAAGCCTCCATAATTTCTAATACTTGTGTACATCAGTACAAATGATAAAAAGTCAGATTTAAACAGTTAAAATAAAGGCAGTTAATTAGGTTTTTTTCCTTTTAGTTATTAAGATTTTTTTTTAAAAGAAGATACATTCCAGATTCCCCAGTCATTTTGTTGACAGAAAATAATTTAGCAGATGTACAGGGGCAGCTGCTCCAGGAGGACGAGACGTAATTGGTGTGTTCCTAGTATGAAATGAGGAAATGTCTCTGCTCCTAGACACAGGACCATGACACTGGGGGCTAGAATGAATTTTTAAGTGCAGGAGAGTTTGAACTGCAGAAATTCATATTTATGAACATGCTATTTTAGGGTCCAACATGCACTGAAGCCCTGAGTTTTGAGAAAGAGAATACCAATGATAAAATTTCTTCTGAGGCCCAAATTCCTAGAAAAGCAGTGATTTAAATCTAAGTTTTAATTAATCACTAGAGTGCCTTCAATGGCAAACATTAGTTCTTGACCTACTTATTTCACCAGGTTGTTGTTCATGCAGCTCAGGTTAAGCTTCATGAGAGAGGGGCATTTTTCACAGCTAAATTTCTGGGGCCTGGAACACAGAAGGCTCCCAGACACAGTTACAAAATGAATGGAGTCTCACGATGGATTCACAAGTCCTTGCTAATCAGTAAAGCACTATACAAACATCGCCCACTGTTGTTAGATGTTACCATTTGTAATGGGTCTACTTTATCGTTGCCACTATTGCCAATGCACTTTTGGCAAAATGCCCCAGAAATGAACCTTGCAGACTTCTTGTTTGAAAAGTTCTACCTACTTCCCCATAAAGGCTGACAAAGGGCTGCCAACTTTGCTGAAGACAGAAGGAACATTTGTCATTAGCACACCCCTGTGTCAGAGGAGCTACTGTGGAGAGCTTGCAAACAATTCTGAAAAAAAAAGTTAATCATCCCTCTGCAATTTCATTTGCTTATTAAGGGTCTCTCAATTCCTTCTCCACATACAGTGCAAATGCTAACTTAGTTTATCTGAACCTGAATTACTATGAAATACAAACAAATAAGGGTTAAGCAAAGATACAGAAGTCTTATCACTGAAAGATTATTGAGAATTTAATGTTTATTTCTTTGATGATGAAGTCAATACCCAGTTGAAGGTGTATAATTTTATCTTTAGTTCAGACCTCTCCTTGACTCTGAGATGTTTTCTTAAATAACGACACACATCTCACACTTGTTATCATCTTGCGTCTGAGGTTACCATGGCTTCCATTCAGAAAATGCAGCTCAATTGCATATAAATCTAATCACAAAATAAAAAGAATATTATTAGTCTCCACAATTAGTCTCCTAAAAGGTAAACTTTTTTCCTGCTCTGTTGGTAGCAATGCTGTAGTTTAAAATAAATCTCTCGCCTTCCTTGTCTATTTTGCCCTCTTTACTGGAACATTCTCAGAAAGTGCTGCAACATCTTCCATGAGGAAGTATATGAACTCCTCTCTCCACCTAACCCCACCCTCCATCTCTAGCTCGATTCTCTTTAAGCAAAACTCCCAAGAGGCGTGTGTGCACTGCACTTTTTCATTTCCTGTCCTACCTGAGTCACTGAAACTGAAACAGCTTTTCATTTTCCTTGACTTATTGGACACATTTTGTCACCCCTTCCAATTCTCAGCCTCTGTTCCTGTTGTCTGACCATCCCTGGAGCACAGTCCTGGATCCTTCTTCAGCCCTTCCTATATTGGGTTGTCTTGCTCAATCCTGGTTCCCAAGTTTGAATCTCCAGTGCAAACCTCTCCCCTGAGGTCCAGACTCAGCATCCAGCGGTTACTTGACATTTCTACTCTGACATTTAATAGACACCTCATCCATAAATGCCCCAAACCAAGCTTCTAATAACCTCTGCTCTGAAAATCATTCTTATCTCACCAAATGGTGGCCCCCTTCTTCCAGGTGCCCAGTCAGAGCTGTCCTTTCTCTCACGGATCACATTTCATTCACAGCACACCTGAGAATCTGCTCACCCTCCTTTCACGTCCTGGCCTCGATCATTGATTCTTTCCTCTTAGGTTACTCCATTTGTTTCCTAACTGATCTCGGTGCCTCGGTTC